GCCCTCAGCAGCGCCCTGCTCCCACACACGACCGCACGTGCGCAGCCTCTTGCTCCAATGCCGGCAGCCAGCCCGCGAGCAATCGCTCCAGCAGCGCTGCCGCCAGCGGAGAGCTCTTTCCTTTGTGGAAAGAGCTGGCCTGCTTGCCCTGCCTGGCTGCCCTGGCCTGGGCCCAGAAGCCTCCGGAAGGCCCCAGGATGCTGCCTGTGCACAGCAGCTACTGGGCTTGCTGGGCCTCATTCGGTTGGGCGCCCAACTGTCTCTGTATGAGGCTGCGATTCACGCCCAGGGCCTGCATTCTTTGGAAAAGCCCAGAGGGCCGTCGAAATGTCTTTGTGGCCCGGCCTGAGTTTCTCTCAACCAACTGGCGCGTCGCAACTGCCTGGACCCCAAATATGAAACTGACAGTAGGGGGCCTCTTGCGATATGTCAGGCCCGCCTTCACTTAGGGCGGGCAATGCTGCAAACAGGGCCCCTTAGGACTACCGAGGACCTTGATCCTCGCAAAATAATTGAAATTTCAGAAAATAATTTCTCAAAAAAATGCCGATTTTCAGAAGACAGAATTCGTCGCGACACAACAGTGCACATGCAAGCAGGCCAGCTCTTTCCACAAAGGAAAGAGCTCTCCGCTGGCAGCCTCATTCGCGACACAACAGTGCACGCGCCGTCACAGTGCACGGGTGCATGTGCACATGCACCTGTGCGCACACAAGGCGTGCAGCCCACCCCCGGAAATATGGGTCAATAGAAAGAAAGGGGGAGGGGTGGCTTGTGGCGGCAGATCCCACCCTTCCCCTCACACAAATGTGCATTGACAAGAAAAAACAACCGAGGCCGCACTCAGCAGCGACCCTCAAAAGTTGATCAGTGTGTTGTGTTCTCAAATCTTTCGAAGTTGTGATGAGGGTGCGTTCCGTTCACGAATGTATACAGACTACCTTTCACATCCATTACAGTCAGGATGAGGGTCTGTTGTTTTCTTGACAACAGAACTTTTGTGAAGTGACACGGTGCGTTGTGTTCTCAATTGCAGGGTCCGTTGTTTTCTTGACAACAGAACTTTTGTGAAGTGACACGGTGCGTTGTGTTCTCAATTGCATACAAGATTGTAACAAGGCAGAGACAGGGCTGCGAGGTTGGAAGAGGGAGGGAGAGTGAGAGCACACACACACGCTCACTCAACTCGACGCAGACTCGACACGACTCGACG